TACGTCATCTGGACATGATGCCGCTGTGACTACGCCCACGGAGACGCGCATAGCTGAATCCAGTCCACTGAAGAATGAAAGGGCAATTGACGACGGGCCGCGTTGGGATCTTAAAGAAGAAAGCGAGCACGAACCACCGACACGAGAAGACACGTGGGGTGGACAGGAAGATACTTCCGATGTGGACAATGTAACCTCGGATACCTCCGACACGTCGACTACGATACAGCCGGACACGTCTCCCAGTCAAGACGCGATCGCTCCTGCCAATCGATTACAGCCCGACGATGACTCTTCTGCACGACCTTCCACTTCCCCATCCGAAACGAGCCGCATCGAAGCGCCCGTCGAATCGCCACGGACATCTTTTGAAGAAGAGGCTGGCAGGCAGCAGACTGCAGTGGAGGAGCTGGAGCTGGAAGAAGCTCACGCGGCAGCAAGTCATGAGGACAGCGACGTAGATGCTTCAAGCTCCAGCAGCGACAGCACAGACGATGAATTTGGGACTTTCACACAAGATACCCTATTGACAGAAGCTCCTTCTGGTCCACCGGATCCTTCACAGAGCGCTGAAGGGGAATCGAAAGAGACCCTAGAAGAACCAACCGCTTCCCGCTCTGGATCGCCAGTAGCCTCTTCGAATGCCGCTTCTGCCTCACACGACGCCGATGCCTATCAGCTCGATACAGACCTCTTCAACGAGCTCTTCCCCTCTAGCGGCAATACAAAGGAACTGGAGGAGGCACCTGATGACCCAATATATTCAATGTCTGGGCGTAAAGCTTGGTACAGGCTTACGCGCAAGCAGACCATGAGGGAGTTCAACAGCGGGAATGCAGACGACAACTACATTCGGGTCACATGGGCAGGATCTCAAGTCAGGTCGGAAGTCAACAAGACTGTGGCAAGATGGGCACGAGAAGACCGTCTCTCTGGCACAGGTCCCGGAGCCAGAGCGTCGTTCTACTGGGACACGCCTGCGCCTCCGGAGCCCAAGACAGCCAGAGGCCATCTACGCACGAAGACTACCATCCCTACGCCACGACCAGTCGAAGTTGTACCAGCTCGACAAAGCATGCCTCCTGTGTCCACCGATAGCCCGGCTGCGTTCAACTGGAGTTCTCCCACCACTACAGTGGACCCTTGGAAGCAGGACAGTCCCGGTTTGCCGCCTCTGATCTCGCCTGTCGCGCCTAAGCATAATGCTGTCGAAATTACACAAGCGAATGAGCTTCGTGCAGTTTCAATTGACCTGACACGCGATGTTGGGGAAACACATGGGCAAACGCCGAGTGAAACGCCGGTTGTCGCAACGAAAGCAATCCCACCTCCTGAGCCAACCACGACCTCTTCAAGTCCTTGGGGAGACATTGCTGCTCTCGACACCAACACTTCCAATCAGGAAAAACGTACGGATGTGCCTGCAGAAGATGACGATGATTGGGGTGAGATGATATCAAGCCCTACAGCATCCACTTTTCCCTCGGCCTTTTCGAACTCCATACCAGCGACGCTCGACAGCACCGTGTCAAATTCAGCATCACCACCAAAGACTCCACCAACCCAGGACCGCTCAGCCGAAGCGATGCATATCGTGCGTCTGCGAAGTACCATATCGCCAACATCAGCGATCTTTGGTCCGAAAAGTTTCGTTCCATTCCACGCTGAACAAGGACCTATTGGGCCTGGACTCTTGAAACCCGCCAAGCGCTCTGTTTCTGCCACGTCGGAGAAGAGCAAAGTCGAAATTCCATCAAAACCGATTTCAGAAGTTATTCCACAGGAGGAAGTGAAAGCTGATGTATTGCCGGCGCGCGACGTGCATGATACAAACGAAATCGCTATCAACGAGGTGAAGGTCGAAGAGCCTAGTACGAACGGCACGGAGGATGACGACTTTTCTGCGTTTACGTCCAACACACATGAGCCGGAACCTGCCAGGCCTAGCACTCCGCCTTCAGCACCCATAGTACGAGATGAACCCAGCATAGATGCTTGGGCGGATGTCGATTTCTCTTTCTTCGAATCTGCACCTGCCGCAAAAGCGTCTGCGCCAGCCACGCGCGATCCATCAGATCCCTTTTCCGTCTTTGAGACTCCTCCGAGACCGAGCAGTGCTGCATCTTCCGCGAAGACGTTTACGCGGTCTCCTCCGCGGAATGTTACTCCTCCGCCTATTCAGCCGCTTACTGGGGCTACGAATTCTGCGCAACGACGGAAAAACGATGAAGAGCAGGTTATCAAGAGTATTCTGGCTGGGCTACCAGACTTGAGTTATATGTTGCGTAGATGAAGTGTCGTTGTTTAGATGGTTGTATAAATGCTGTTTCTTGCATTTCACATGGCGTTTTCGGGTGCTTGGATATCCATGGTCGTTTTTAGCATTGCTGGTGTAGGTTTGAGGGTCTCGTGGGAAGAGCGTTCCTTAGTACACGTCCAATCTTCATATCATTACTATCACTTAGAGGTGCATACACGATATCGTCTCGGTTGTTCTTGCTTTCACATCATCTATTCGTTGCTTTTCACACTCCCGTTCACCCTCTCTTCGCGCACTTCACTCACTGCAGTCAGCCATCGCCGTTCTCATAGTCGCCATCCCCGAACAGCCACTCCCCTCAGCTCTTGAGCCAGAGGCTCATTTTCAATCGGCACACTCTCCCTCAATTTAGTCCTTTCCAGCGAGGCCTCTTCGAACTAAACCACACCCTCCCTCAACTCGAGCACTATCTCGAGACGCAACGTCAACCACTCCTACCCTCGACTCTACTCGACAAGTCTTTTACCAAAAGATAGCAGAACACAATGGGAGAACATTACCACGTTCGTCATAGGAGTACCGGCGATCGCTATACAGTCACCGTCCCTGCCGACATCTCCCCCGCCTCCGTGCGGTCGACGTATGAAGCTGAACACCGGAGAAGTCGTGAAACAAGCTACAACACTGATGACTTTCGATCCCCAAATCGACCCATGCTGCGAGATGGTTTGATACCCATCGATGGCTCAGGCTACGCCCCCATCCCGACTCATCCCGGAATGCTGTACCCTCGACCCAATCTACATGGTCCCCATTACACCATCCCACCGTTCCCCCAACCAGTCTCCTCTCCACCTCCCCGCCACGTCTCCTTCGCCCCCGACCCACGAAGAGACCCTCCCTCAAGCTTCCCACCTCATCCTCCTCACTTTACCCGCCGAAACGGCCCAGGCCACTCCCGCAGCAGAAGTGCACCTGTGAACCCTTTCGAGGGCTCACACCACAGTGGGGATGTTTCGAACAGGCTCGCCCAACTTCCTCAGTATGCTCAACAACACCCTCGGTTTGAGGAGGCGAAGTATGCTATGCAGATGATATGGAGATATCCTAGAGACGATCCTAGGGCGGTGCCGTGGCAGGTGGTGTTGAGGGAGATTACGGAGGATATGGAACGGATGGGGTTGGATGGTTTGGTGGGGAGGGGGGAGGGAAGGTGAGGGGGGGTTTGGGGAGGTAGGCTTGGGGTGTGCGGATGAGGGTTGTGGAGGAGCTGCGGAGTTGGGAGGGGTTTGGGAGATAATTGTTGTGATTACACTAGACTATTAAAGCATGTAGAGTACTTCTAAATAAGTAAAATGTACAAGAAAATAGGCTCTCTGCCTACCTACAGTAATAATTATCTAAAAGTAAGAGTCTTAGGTGCTAAGCCTAGATACAAGCTATAAGTAAAAATCTTATTAAATTGTAAAAGACACGTCTATAACAAGTACTACAAAACTCTATAAGCCTATTTGGGCATAAAGAGAGGTTAAGAGATGCCTAGTTCTGCTTGCTATTTGCTTTCCGCGCTCGTAGAGGTGTAACCTTTCCATCATATCATCGCAAACCGTTTGTTGATTTACCGCCTCAGCTATGTATAAGAGCTGCTCTCGGATCCTGACCTCTCATCTTCGACACGAAACATCAATCATCAACACGACAATGAGTTCAGCGGCTCGATCCAACGATCCCCCGCCCTATGTACCACCGAAAGTCCCAAACCATGTCATACTCGCAGTCGTCCCGATACAGTTCGTGGTGGCCTGTGATACCATCCTGAGAGCAGCAAGAGACGCCATTCTGAACAACACGAATAAAGACCACTTCGAAAAGCACCCAAGCGAATGTACGCTTTATGATTCTTACTCCGTAACTCAACAGATCCTCCAAAACGAATACACTTGGCCTCTGGTCGTTGATCGAGATGCACCCCTGGCCACGAACATACACAAGATAGAGGGGGAGGCGCGTATGTGGCTAGAAACATCTCCGCTGTTCATCCAGCATCGCAGCGATCTGGAGCTTTACCTTAAAGCCCCGATCACCTTCAAACCGAGACGCTATATCGTGGATAATGGTGGTCTTTTACAAATGAGGGAAGAGAGGATTGCGCTTCGACAGCAGTTTCCTGAGGTTTACTTGGACTGCACACTTTCGGTCGAGGAATTGTGCTCTGAAAAACATGGGAAAGCGCATCGAGAGTATTTGACTATGCTGGCTTGGGTCGAGAAGGCGCCACGGGAGCGCATGTATATCAGTGCACCGCATTTGGATGTCCCTTCTCCACCTGATCCCTTCGGGTATAATCCACCGGGATATAGATGGTGAAGCTTGCAAATAATAGAACTTCTGGTTAGTCGCAAGGTACCAGATGTTAGCTCAGTTGCGGGTGAAGTCAATGTCATAATACTGAAGTCCATTTTCACTTGTGGACTTTACATTTTCTTTTAGCTCGAGAACGAACAGACAGTGAGATGTCTCTGGCGGTTTGCGACTTACCCTCTCTAATCTGCCAGCCGGTCAGTAAGACCCTTGCTTTCCTTGTCACCTAGCTAGTATTCACTGACTGCCGGTGCAGGACCGTGCGGGTTTGAACGGTCGTTTGCTTTAGCGGCACACATATCAGGGCTTATAAATCACAGTATTCGATCTGTCCTTTCTACTCCCTCACTCCCGCGCACAACACACTGTCACCCCCGCCATGGACGCGTCCGCAGAGAGGATGGTGGAGTTCGCCATCGTCCCTATCGAGACTCTTATCGCCTGCATACAAATCATCACCAAAGTGCACTCTATCATCGCCCACAGCACATCTTCACTTGGCTTTTTCTCTATCCCAGATGTTAGCGAGATGTTAGCGCATTACAGGAAAGTGGAAGAGCTAGTGGAATCCAAGGACACTGTCTGGCCGCTCATTGTCAAAGAGCAATCGCGCATCTACGAAAACATCACAGGGGTCGTCGAAACCGCGACCGAGTTGCTTTTGCGCTCTGCTTTCTCCGGATCGTTCGCGGAACATAGCAAGAGCCTCAAGAAGTATCTCGAACCCCAGCGAAGCTTCTCAGCTAGCAGATTGGCCGTACGTCGAGATGGCACTGTCCTGAAGAGGAAATGTATCATTGTGGAGCAGCGCAGGATGATGGACATCTACAAAAATGACGCCAATCGACTGAAGCAGCTCGACCTTCAATATTACATCAACAAAGACAATTTCGAGAACTTCCTGATGACATTGGCCTGGGCGAGAGAGAAGCCTCTCAGGCGTATGTTCAGCGAGGAGTTCAGTGGAACCTACTTGGAACACGAACCAGAAGTCCAGGACGATCCAGCCTCCGATCATGTCAGTCTCGCCGGTAAGTGGACGTTCTTCCGGTCTTCAAGCTCATATCTAACACCGTGCTAGACACCGAGTCCGTTGTCGACATGCTCACTCCGTCGACCACTCGTAACACATCGCCAGCTCTCACCGAGTTCCCAGCTGACGATTCTAAAAACGACGACAAGAGCGGCTCTGCCACTGACTCCACTTATGTAAGGGCCTTTGTACCACCGGACACCCGTATTAACAAAGCCTTCTTCGTACTCTACATCTCGGAAGACAAAGATAAGCGGGTCAAGTTCAAGGTGAATGATGCTTGTCTCGAGCAAATTAAAAAGGTCTACGGAGAGAAGGCCAGCATGATCGATGTTGTAGAACTTGCGATTCAGATGGCAGTTCAATAAGGAGAGCTCAAGAGCCGGGAAGTGCCGCAACTTTGCCTACACTCGCTCTGTCGCAGGTTATACGAAAGGAAACCACTTCGCCAGCTCTCGGCGAGCGCCCAGAAGACAAGTGGTGGAGCACGAAGTGGCTGTAGATCAATCCCTGCCTAATAGTTGTACATAGGGAGGGCGCTACCAATACTAAAATGCTCACATCCTGATCTATCACTTTCCTGTTACTCTAGGTCTGCACGTGATCTCTTCCGGCTGCTGCCTTCCTCATTAGTGTTCACTGCCAAGCATAGTCATCTAAGACCGTGCGGGTTGCGACAGTCATTTGATTGCTCTAGTGGGGCACTAATTTGAGTGCACAAAACAAAACAACTTCCTCAACTCAGGGCTTTGTACGTTCAAATTTCCTCCGATAATAGAATCCAACTTTGATCTCGCCCTCACCCGCCACCATGGACGCGACTTCCCCAGAGATGATCAACTTCGTTGTCGTTCCGGTCGAAACGATAGTTATTTGCGGCTATATAGTCGATGAACTCATCCTGGCCATCTGCGAGGATCCATCAAATGAAGAAAGCAAGCTCGAGGACTTCCAAGCGCTCAGTCGCAGTGCCAACACGATAGTCCAAAATGTCAAAATATGGCCACTCATCGCAAAAGAGAGTTCCACCGCGTACGATGTTTTCCGAACGCTACATGAAGTCGCATCGTACTGGCTGGAGCGTTCTCCAATCTTCAAGAAACATCTGAGTGTGCTCAGAGAGTACTTGGAACTGCTACCAGGTTTCTCAGCCAGTGGCCTAGAGACGTCCATCTACGGAACCATCAAGGACAGAGAAATGATCTTGCTTGAGCAGCAGAGAGAAATTTCTTGGTACAAAAACCAGTGTCAACACTCAGACGTCGTTCGTGCGAAGGACTTGAAGCGCAATCAGTCACAATACCACCAGTTCTTGACCCGATTGATGTGGATGCGAGATGACCCTCTTTCAAGGATGTTCCAGTCGTACTTCAAGGGAGAATACCAGGACCACCCGAAAGATTCCGATTGTGAGGAGCTGTCGTATCAGCTGGAGAGCTTCAGCGTTGCTGGTACGTGTATTACCCCCCTTGCCGTATCTCAAAGCTGACAACAGTGAGACGGCGCGTCTACTATTGCCATGGGCACTCCTTCAACTACTCGCGCAACGTCACCAGCCCTCACCGAGCGCGCCGACAACGACACCGCCGAGAGCAACGCTATCAAGCTACCAACCCTCAAGTACATCGCCATTATCGAGACCGACAACGATAACAAGGCCATCTTTGACCTCGAATACCCCGAAGTCAACCAGGATAAGCACAAGGTCTTGGTCATCGCGAAGGACATGTGTACCGAGATGGTTTCCAAGGGTTATGAGAGCAAGGTCAAGCTGCAGGACATCATGGAGATGGCGGTCAAAATGGCGAAGAAGTGAGAAGTGCGAAAGAGGCAGCAAGTGTCCGAATTTCAGTTGCGCTCGCTTGTCTTTGAGACACATGATGAAAGTGATTACGGTGCGGAGACCCACGGGGCTACAGAATCCTAACGCGGAAAGGGAACTTAGTAGCTAGATGAGGGAACTGCATGTATCGAACATGTTTGCAGCCTGCAAATAGTCGTACAAGAACCCCAAACGTTCGTGATAAGTCCTTTTTTACTTAGATGATTTCGTGAGCTTGCGGCTATGCGAGACAAGTAAGTAGCTCATGCGCTAGCGCGATGTATCGTGCTCGGAAGGCTTTCAGGCGCTCAAGTCCATCGCATCTCCAGCAGCAGCCTTCCTGGATCCAAAGCGCGCATCCAGCTTCCTGATCGTGCTCTGCCTCATCTCCTTCGAAGGCCATCCCTCACTCGGCACCCTGACCTTCTTATCCCCCCTCAACTGCACCGGCACCGGGATATTCTCACCAGTCTTGCTATCCCCATACCCATACATGACAAAGTCCAGATAGTACTGCTGCACATCCAGGCCCCTCCTAATACTCTCAGCAATGACCAGATCCAAAGCATGCGGCATCCTCTTGCCATCTTCGTTCCAGCCTTCCAGACTCAGTAGACCCCACTGATCTTCCAACACGCTGTGGTCTTCTACGTCTTCGAGCCAGGGATGCGCTTCGAAGTCGAGATCGTCCATGAGGTATGTGGCAACGACCATCGCACTGGTCGTGTCGTAGTTGAACTTCATCTTGCCGCTGAGCGCCTCCCATAGCGGAGTCAAGCTCTTCTGAGCAAGCAACATGGGGCCTAGCTGACAGACGCCGTTGCCCAGGATGGGGTCGGAGAAGCGCATGTCGAGCTTCATGAAGAAAAGCTGGATATTGATGAGATCGGCGTCGGTCCAAATATCGAGATCCTCAAGAAAAGAGCGACGCGTCCTCGATTCTTTGAGCTCCATGACGCACCAATACTTCATCAGCGCGCCCTCGCAGGCCTCTGGTACGCGATGACCTTCTAGAGCCATGTGTGTGAGAATGCTGCGTACGACCTTCTGGCGATAGACTATCATGCCGACCCAGCGGAAGCCCGGTACGTCGCGCGCTAGCCACTCGCGGCCGTCCATGGGCCGGAGCATGGGGTCTGAGATACATGTACGGGGGTAGAGCACCCAGCTGAAGATGTGGCCTGCGAGAGGCGCATGGTAGCGGGCGTAGTCGTGGATTAGAGAGACGCTGTATAGATTCAGGCGGTAGTGGAACTCCTTATCGATGGCGTAGAGGTCGACGATGGAGGGGTAGGGTAGGCGGAGCGCGAACTGGAAGAAGAGGTTCGGGTGTCGGATGATGGCCTTGTAGACACTGAAAAGCTGCTTCGGGGCAGTTCCACCGGTGGAAGTTTGGGGTATGGGCGTGGAGGGTATGTCTGGGCCCCAGATCTCAGCGGCGATATTGTGGCGGCGGTGTTGGCGGCGGCGGACGACGGTAGGCGCATTGCTCTCGGTTGTGGAGGAATCCTGAAGCTTGGCAGTAGTTGGAGAACCATCTTCGACTGCTCGTTTGTTTTTCCCTTTCGCGTTTGCGTTGAGATAGAGCGGGCTTGGTGGAGGCTCCATGATTGTCGTAAAGCTTGACCTCGTGACCTAGTATCACCTAGGTGAGACCAAGGTGCGCTCAAGTAAATGTGCGAAATCAGTTCGAAGACGTAATCTCACCCAGCTCAGGGTGATCGCGTGCGTTGTTTAGGCTTCTCGCGCACAATAGTTGCTGTCAAGACGGTGGAGAGGCAAACAATAAGGCTGTCAGGTCGTCGTGCCAACAAAACAGCGGGACGCCCAGGCAACCAACTACACAGCAACTTCAGAGCACCTGAGATGAGAGTAGGACTAGGCGACTGCCCGGCATTTTCCGGAGACTGTACATAAAAATATGCGGATCTCGTTGCAGACGCGTGGATTCAAAGGAAGATTTGCGCGAACGGAAATGACAGCTCGCCCCGGCTCCAGCATCCGCATGAATCCCAACCCTACTGAATGAACATGAAATATACGAAATAGAAAGGAGCAGAGATGTATACTATACCGTGGCAGTGAAACCCGACATATGCACTCATCATTGCTGCAGGCACGCGATGCTCCAGGCTCTTCCTCTCAGACGCGCTTCTCATATACGTTACGGCGTGTTCACACGTTTGCCTTCTAACTGAACGCGCGAGATTACTACGACAGGGTCGGTGATGCCCATCTGGGGGTGTTGAAGGTACATGTGAAGGCGTGGATGGTGAGTGGACGACGCGTCAACGTCATTGGCCCGTGCGCCGCAACCCCCGCCTCGGCCCCTCGTCGTCGTCCCTGCATAATCTGATAATTTAGTTCGCCGTGGGAAAATCGCGTTCCTCACGCATCACAACAAATTCTCCGATCAACGACTTCGTATCACAGTCGCCAAACACGGCTACCTTCTATCCCCTGCAGTACGTGTTTGCTCTCGGCCCGGAAATCAACGCCTTTCGCCACACGATTATTGACAAATTATGTCCAGGACAACTTAGGCATCAATAATCTAATAATTGAATCAAGTAGTACCACCAACGATCACCGCTATAAAGTCATCCCTTCAGAGTATACGAGAGCCTCCACGATCGCGTACCACGCGCATCATGACATCCAATCTTCTGGCCACGGCGACGTCGGCGCTCCCCAACGAACTCGCTCTCGTCGTAATCGATCATCTCCAAGGCAACAACAAGGCCTTATGTGCTCTCGCTCGGACATGTCGCGATATGCAAAACCTCGCAGAAGAGCGACTCTACAAGCGAATCGAGCTTCTATCCGTAAAGAACCTCCACGCCATCATCGAAGCCTTCACATCGCGTCCTGAACGCGTCCGCGCCGTACAAACCCTCAAGATCTTGTATTCATACAAAGACGACAGCCTAAAAGACAGCGCCGAGATAAGGACGACTTTCAACGAGTGCGTAGCTAGTATGGTCAACCTGAGGGAGTGGCATATTGAGAGCCCGTACGATAACTTTCATTGGGAGAACGATGGTGGACAGGCTTGGGTCAACGGCGATATGCAACGCTTCCGCCGTGCGCTCGACACAGCTTGCGTGGAGGGCCCCATAGAAACGGACAAGATTGCGGCTGAACGGCGCTTGGGGAAGAACCTCGAGCGAACAGTTGGGCTGGGTCTTCTCGAGAACTTGACCATCCACTCGCACGGTACTGCTACCGACTTCTGGAACCTTGACGGGTTCCATTGTCTCTTCCGACACCCCGCACTCAAACACCTTCACGTCTCCTGTGTGGCCTTCCCAGACTCCGAAATCCCAGAGCTCGCGACACAGACGAAGAAGACTCCTCTGACCTCGCTTGTTCTTGACGAGTGCGAACTGCGGCCCAAAAGTCTGCTCAGCATCCTTCGCACTCCGGCGCGTTTGAAGTCATTGACTTTGGGCGAGAATGTCTTCAACATTAACCGGTCAAGGCGGGCTAAGCCTCTATTGAACAAAGACGCAGGCGGATCACTGGAGGCTCTCTCCGCAGTTGCGCATTCGCTGGAAAGCCTTACACATCTAAATCCTGGCTGGCGTCTTGACAAAAGCCCTCAGGTGCTCCGCAGTATACGCCCATCTGGTGATGGTATGCGCGATTTCCACCTTCTGAAGTACCTTGAATGCGACACGAATTCCTTCCTACATCAGGCTATCATCATGAACCGTGATCTGGCGCCCCCCAGTCTGGAAACACTTCGAATCCGGCGGCATTGGGATGTTCCGGTCGACTTCTGGGATCAGCCGCCTGACTTCGATCACTACGCCGCTTTGCCATCTCTGGACACACTAGAATTATTGCAATCATCATACATGTGGTAAGTTCTTACAGCAAGAATGACGTTGCTTTTAGGATCATGCGCTGACTTTGCCCTGTGTGGCTCATAGGCTCGACACGGCAAAATCTGAGTACATCTGCGATGAGGAACGTCTTCGCAATCGCCACGCAAAGGCGTTCAAGCTGCACAAAGCTGGCATCAACCTGAAGATGTCGTTGGAACTACACAAAAGCGAAGGCTTGATACCACCGTACCTGCACAAAGAGCGCGTTCCTATCATCGAATGCTTGTACGATGCGAGCATGGAGGGATTCAAGAGTTTCATCAGGAAAGAAGTGACACATGAGGACGGAGAGACGACTGAATCGCTTGCGAGAGAAGAAGCTGAAACGGACCAACTAAGCGAAGTGGATATCAGCCTCTTAAAGTCGAAGACACGACGTCTCACGCTTTCCATGAAGCACAGCCTCGTGAATCGCGGCGGCCGACTCCCATCGTTCAGGGAAATATTCGGCTCAGATGATGGAAGTGAAGAGTCGGCTGATAGCGATGAGGATTTCGAGGTCGATGATCTTGACGAGGATGACGATATGGCGCTCGATCTTGAGCTCGACGATGATGTCGTTCAGCAGTATATCGATGAAGACGGCAATCCTGTATTTGACGAGGACGGCAACCCTGTTTTCGAGGACGACGGAGAGCTTTTTACAACTGTGTGGGAGGTGGCTACTGAGGACGAGTATGATAGCGATATGGATGAGGATACAGATGAGGATGACGACGACGACGAGATGCACGACGCGTTGGAAACCCAGCAACAGCCCGCCAACACCAGCACCAACAACGACGACGTTGACTAAGCAGTCTTGGGAGAGTGACAGCTGTTTATGTTCGACTTCGGTAGTCTGTATGGCCACGACAGTGTATTCTTGTGTATTCTTGGCTTTAGAGAATAGTTTTAACGATGCATGTATTATCAAAAGTGTTATGCTGATGACCAACAGTAGCGCTATGTGCTCATGCCACACACGCAACATTGGATCACGGTTTCTATGTGAATCCTCCTAATAATGAACGAACGCCGGGTATGTAGAAAGCATCGCGAAAAGAATTGCAGCTAATACGCTGCTAAAGAAGAAGTCTGCGATAAACGTCAGTTATGACTTCG